GTGCCTTCACGACATGGCGGCAGCGGCAACAATACTACAGTGAGAATAAAAGTTACGCCTTCTTTCTTTATGTGAACATTTGGGCGGTGTTATGCAAATCTTCCCACATAGTGATGTAGATATGTGGGGGCGTGTTAGAATGAGCCGTTTTAGGTAGGCGTGGCTGACTCTTAACTTTTATAAAGAATATCTCTTTGGATTTGAGACTTTAGTCTTTGCAACTTTACAGATCTTCTTTATGCACCAAGAGCTTGTAACACTCCAAAGAGAAAGGAAAAATTGAAATCGCATCATATGACCCCTTTAATTTGTTTTATTAAGTTTGAGCTTCTCTCTAGAGTGTTTTTTTTAAATCAAGCTTTTAACCAATTTACATCTAATTCAACTTAAGTCGGAAAGTGCCTTCCAGTTTACCAACCTCTAGAGGAAGAGAAAAAAAGATTTTTTTCTAGGGATGCACCGAAATGAAAATTCTTGGCCAAAGCCGAAACCGAACAAAATGAAACACTGGGCCGAAGGCCAAATACCGAATACGGTTTTTCACGTTTTTTCCCCATGTATTTTGTAATGTGCTTTTTACGGTTTTGTCTTGTTTTTCAAAGAAAAAATCAATTACAAAACAACAATTTAAAAATATTTAACACTAAACATTTTTTAACATTCTAGCAGACATTATACCAACAAAGCACAATTTAACTTAAAATTAATAAGTTACTAAAATAATATTTTTTGGCAATCAGACCCCCTTCTTGAATCAGGCATGTATTTTTTTTTACTGTAAAATTAAAAGCAGCCTTGCCGAGTAGATGTTACGGAAGGAGACTCACACAGAGGATTAGAAAAATAGCAATAATGTTTATTTTCAACACTGAGTGCAGGAGATTCGGGGAGGTGAGTAATAGCACTGAATTACGTCCGTTAAGGGAGAGGAGGAGAGTAACCCTGTCACTGGTCCTCCAGGAGATCATGGAATCGGGGATAGAGGACAGCACACACCTCTGCTGAATGGGTACACAGAGCTTTCACGGAGTGGAAGACTGGAACGTACTGGGGAATGGAACACAGGAGAACACAATGGAGGTAACACAGGAGGGAAGTATATCAAGAAGGGAAGTCTTTCGATGTATCTCACGGAATGAATAGAGAGAGAGTCCACTTCATAGAAACGAGACCGGACACTGGAGTGAAGTGAGGTGTGTGCTTATGAAGGGGAACTGATGATGACTGCTGATTTGTGACAGGTGCGTGTGATCAGTGCTCAGGTGAAGGTGTTTGCTGTGATTGGGAGGTGACTGAGTCTGGCCGATCTGTGACAGTAGAAGAGACTTCTTTTAAAACATTAGAAAATATTACAGATCCCAATTTGAACATTATGTGTGTATGTTATAATAAATGTATTAACAGAGCTGTTGTAATTATTATCATTATTATTGTCTTACTTTTTATTTTATTTTACAGAACAACAGTAAAATTACAATACTAACATTGATGAATGTTGGAGTTCTTGCTTTTTGTCAACTTTTATTTTAGCGGAAAAACGCGTAGGCAGACCTCAATGGATCTTTTTGTTGACAGCAGATTTATGAGTCTCATTACGAATACATCGCACGTATCGCATTGTCACATGCCTTGTAAAAATCCATAAAAATGTGCCAACAAAGCACAATTTAACTTAAAATTAATAAGTTACTAAAATAATATTTTTTGGCAATCAGACCCCCTTCTTGAATCAGGCATGTATTTTTTTTTACTGTAAAATTAAAAGCAGCCTTGCCGAGTAGATGGAGACTCACAAGACTCACACAGAGGATTAGAAAAATAGCAATAATGTTTATTTTCAACACTGAGTGCAGGGAGGTGAGTAAGGTGAGTAATAGCACTGAATTAAGTCCGTTAAGGGAGAGGAGGAGAGTAACCCTGTCACTGGTCCTCCAGGAGATCGTGGAATCGGGGATAGAGGACAGCACACACCTCAGCTGATGGGGAAACGGAGCTTTCACGGAGTGGATGACTGGAACGTACTGGGGAATGGAACACAGGAGAACACAATGGAGGTAACACTTTAAAAATATTTAACACTAAACATTTTTTAACATTCTAGCAGACATTATAGCAACAAAACACAATTTAACTTAAAATTAATAAGTTACTAAAATAATACTTTTTGGCGATACCCCTTCTTGAATCAGGCATGTGTTTTTACTGTAAAATTAAAAGCAGCTTTGCTGAGCAGAAGAGACTTCTTTTAAAACATTAGAAAATATTACAGATCCCAATTTGAACATTATGTGTGTATGTTATAATAAATGTATTAACAGAGCTGTTGTAATTATTATCATTATTATTGTCTTACTTTTTATTTTATTTTACAGAACAACAGTAAAATTACAATACTAACATTGATGAATGTTGGAGTT